CAATCAGAGGGCTCTCCACCAATCACACTCATTCCTGCTCCATGTCACAAGTTTTTGCTGCGGATATAAGTCAATATTTCTGATATACTATTTGCCTGCTCTTCGCTCAAATTTATAGCTAGTGTGCCGTTTGAGCTTGCCATGAGCCTGCAAACAACATGCTCAAACAAGTGCTTACTAGTGAGCCAAACATGTTTTTTGGATGCGCATCCTTGTTACAGTAGTACACTACGTAAGCCCCCAGCTACCGACCTGCCCTCTGCCACCTTGCACAGCAAATGACAAGATACCCAGGCCTTTAGGCCTTGATGATAAGAAGATAGAAGAAGATAAGCCCGGAAGATGCCGGCTTAGATAAGTGGTCTGGACCACATATGATGACATAGGTCTAGAAGACCTATTTATGTTATCAAGATAGAAGGCAAGCCTCATGTTGCCTCATGCACTGATAGAAGGATGCCTTGTGGTCCTATCTTAGATAGAAGCCTGCCTCATGCATGGTATCTCTGACTCAATAGATAAGCAGATTAGAACCCAGCTTCTAGCTGAGCTTAGATACGATAGAGTAGCTTTATATAAGGTCGAAGATCAAAGTAGATGTTCCTTACTTTAATCTTACTGGGTTTTACCTTGAACTCCTTGTCCAGCTAAAGCTACTTGCTTTTGACATTTGACTCATACCTCCAGAAGGACCCTTCCAGAACCCCTCTGTCTGTAACCTGCTATAATCGCCCATAATCCCTCGCTATCCACCGTGAGCTACGCCAGCATACACAACTCATGCTTGTCTGTGGGAGCCGAAGAACCTCAGCACTTGGTACCACTGTCGTGGTTGTCGCTGACTAGATCATCCCAGTTTGCATGCGACCTTGTGTCGTAACAGTCCTCACCTTTCCTTCTCAAGTATTCCCTAATCCAACTAATACAAATACCTCTCCTCACAATCTCTGGACCACTACACCCACATCTACACACGAATGGAATTCTCATGCACCCAATAACAATTCTCTTCAATGTGCTTGTTACTGGCAAACACATCCTCTTCCTTGGTCATAATATCCCTGCTGGACAGGTCGCCAATTATGCCCTTTCTGCTTGTGGCCTGGGCTCTGGATGTGGTGCAGTACTACAGTGATTCATTGAGCGATTATTTCCTTACATTGGCCTTGCGGGCAAGGACTCTTCTTATGAAGAGATCCACATCTCATGTGGCGGTCCATGGGATTATGGCATTTTTCATCCTGGGACGAAAAATGCTGTAATGAGATGTCAAGTTGTGTGCGTCAGTTTTCAGATGCAATTGCCACAGTCTCACTGACACTTAACAACAGCACCTCATTGGCTCTGTATGTTCCACGTTTTTCTGAACATCGTCCATGAAACTCACACTCGGTCCCACAGTTGCATGAGTTATCATTCTACTTGCATGCTGCCTTTTTTTCCTCGTGTCTTTACTCGTACCACTGGTTACCAGAGCTGTGTATTGTCAAATCCTGTGCTATTAGCCAAGTGATGTCGACCCCCATTATATGCACGGGTGCATGACTTATTTCTCTACCTGCATGCCGTCTTCTTTGCATGCTAGGTAAGGCATGGCTGAGGGGTGGACGGACGTGCGGGAGTCTGTTGGAATGGGTGCATCTATTCATTTATTATTTCATTATCTTTCATTGAAATGCCAATAAGGATCTCAGAGTATGCACCATCTTGGCTTTCCTATTGCTGTTGGAAACACTCGCGTATAGACATTCTGTATTACCAAGATTCAGCGCTCCTCATGTGCCACTTCCAACTCGGAGGTGAGCAATCCTCAAGACCACAGTCACTCCTCTAGCCTTCACACATCACATCCTGTGGCTGACGCTCAATCAGAGGAACATTGTACACATTTGAGCCCCTCATCATGGCAGTGGCGGCTGAGTGTACTGGGGCATTTCATGTCCCTCTCAAATGGTGACAACTAACTAGATATAAGTATATACTCTGTCTACCTTTGCAATGCACTTCAGTGACAGCCTCATGCATGCATCTCTATTGCAGTCTCTTAGTAGCATTCTGCTTGGCCGTGAAAGTGACAAAGTACATGATTCTGCAGTACTGATGTTCACATCAATGAGGCGATCTACAAGCCAAAGTAACTCACAAGATGAACACTCTGATCAGGTAATTTTATACAGCAAGAATGGTAGTGTGCCAAGTACTAAAATGCTACGTAATGAAAGGTTGCAAGCCGAAGATGTGACAGAACTTATTACATATATGTGTGGTCCTGAAACTGTTGAAAGCAGATGTGCAGTTACCTCCACCAAAATTGTTCATGAAAGCTCTAGAGAAGGCTTGTGTTAACATGACAGTCCAAGGCTTAGTAGTAGGTACAAACTCACGAGCCTGTTAGCACTTGGCAATCTGTAAGGAGGTTACCAGAATCTATGCCAAGTGCAGTCAGTTAGCTGTGGGTGACAGTCAGGTGAGAGGTTGAGGACTCGCCTTGGAAATCAGATAGATATACCATGTTGTTAATAAGGTGATACTGCACGTGTTGAACAAAGCATAAAAACAGTCCGATGACTGCTTCTGTGCCCTCTAGATTATGGGCAGGGACAGCAGAGTTGTTGTTGATGTACTTGACAAATTTTCCACTAATCTGCTCCTTGATGAGATAGTTTGCGCCGAGGTCGTTGTTGGGGTCGTCGGGAATGGCTAGTGCCGCATGAACCAGCCTTAGACGTGGTAACTCAACCTCGACATCTTGGCTCACATTGCCAGTCTTGAGCATCTCATCAATGAAGGTGTACGCCATACCGAGCAATGATGTGCCCCAGTAAAGGCAATTCACCTCATCAAGTGTCTTTTCCAGCTCATCCTCCCTTGCAAAGCAGCAATACCCCATGGTTTGGCCCTTCCAAAAAAACATGTGTTTAGCTACAACCTGCTCAGCTGACAGAACAGATGGTGGTGGTGATGTAGACATGGATGGGACAACGTCTGCATTTGAAATCAAGGCAGGGTGACATATTTTGAAGCTTCCTGCCAAGCCAATCATAGATTTGGATCTGGTGTCAATGGTGAGTGCGGCAACAGTGTACTTGCTATCAATAGTACTGAATGGCGTAGAAATGAGCACTGCGAAGCCAATAGAAGGGATGTCAAAGAGACGAAAGGTGATAGGGACACATCCAGCACCTGTCATCACATAATGTGAGCTAGTTGACTGATTCTAAAAGTTCAAGGCACATACCTATAATAGAGGATGCTTGTTTTCTAACATTTCCCTGAGCTTTCATGGCCGCTTGTAGTTGAGATTGGCTGGGTAAGAAGAGTTGTTTTGATATGTGAGCACTTGCTGCTAAGACAGGTTATGACTCACGCTAGGTTCTCGAATTGCCATTGGGTCACGCAAATAGTATGTATGGTTTCTTTCACGGACAATTTGGTAGAGAATGGCACATTTGTATCAGGGATAGAGTAGTTACTAGAAGATGTTTAAATGATCAAAACAGAAACCAAAACAATTCATATGGTAGCATGAGGCAATATTGACAGAAAAAAAAAGCAGGTGGAAGCAGCATGAGATAGATGAATTAAAGAACGGTGTTGTATGATTACTTGATGGTGAGCATTTATGAAGAGGCAGGCCCAGGCTGAGGATTTGGAGTGGTCCTAGGGTCCAAGTAAGGCTCACATTCACAAAACGTCGGGTTGTGGTCATGATTGTCATTGTCTTGAGAATTGAAATGACTGTGTCGGTCATTGTGTGGATAAACCCAAAGCGAGGCAGCATCATGAGGGTGATCAGGAAATGGTGGATCATGACCTATCCCCTGTGGGTCTTGATATCTCCTCCATGTTCCTTGCCTATTGTGATACCCCTTTTCCTCCCGGATTGTCATGGTAGTGAGGAAGCCGCTGATATTCGTCAACGTCTTAAGGAATACATGTGATCGGGAATGGGGCTATAGTGACTGGGATATACTGGACGAGTATGATCACGCTCTCCAATACGCGAATCATGGAAGTTCATAGGATGGAAGTTGTCTTGATGATGACCCCCTCGGCCATAGAATGTGTCGTGTGGATGGACTGCATCACAATCCCAAGGTGATGTATCACGCACATAATCACGATAGTGATACTGATTGGGGTCATGAGGACGATGAAAGTTGCATGGGTCCAAAGGGTCACGAATATCGTGAGTATACCCACGTTCAGTAGGCTCATGCCAACCACCTGTGTGAATAATAGGCTCGCAGGACTCCTCTGGAAGGTCGCATGTGAGAGCCTGAGGTACACAAGATGCCATAACCCTGGACAGGCTCAGGAGGGTGCTGAATGGTCTCTTTGGAGACGCTCTGGGGAGGGTCATGAGGGTTGTGGCCACGTGAATCAGTGAGATAAGGCTCAGGTGCGTGGTCAGCAGCTCATGACTCGAAGACGATATGGTCAGTAGTGACAAGGGACCCCCTTTATGGGGGATAACTCGGGAGTGGCCAATGGCCCAGTTACTCATACCTTCTCCTTCTCTTGGCCTTGGCCTTGACATGTTTCTTCCCCACATTAAGCTCCCCTTCATGCTCTGCAGATGCCGCACACCTCTTGGAGTCTTGAGTTAGCCTGCTAGTCGCCACCTTCCTCTTTTCCCATGGCATGCATCTTCAAATTCCGTTTCAGGGACTATCTCACGAGGCTCAGTGTCAGACTCAGAGGTTGGAATCTCGATCGGGGCAGCTAGCAAAGGCCTAGCAACCACTATAAAAGGGCGTGTGGGAGGAGTCTTCAATGGTAGAGTCTTCTTGACTTTAGTAATTGCAGCGCTGATCTTCATGCAAGAAGGTCCATTATAATCTGTCTGACGGTTGGCAAACATTCGTTTTGCACCAGAATGAGAGTAGTTTGAAGGAGGTGCTTCGCCAGTGATTACAGGTAATTCGGATGCAATGAGCACTCCTAAAATATTGAATTAATGAAAGTGTTGTTGCAGCGCCAATGACTTTGAATATACCTCATGACATTTTTGGGATCTTGACCACAAACATTGTTCCTGCCTTCAGAGCCTCTACAAGTATAGAGACTTCCTTCTGAGTCAGCCCTCTGATACCCTTGCTCTTTGATTTGATGTTATGGTATTCCCCAGGTAAGAGACATTTGTGTGCCAGAGATCCCTTAATGCAAAGATTTTCATTTGCGAGCACACTGGGCATTATGATCCATGGGAAGTTCTTGAAAGAGGCGAACTTCCCATCCAGATTGCCTAGTATAACTGTTCGTTAACTGCAGTATAAAGAATGTCCAAAAGGACTTACCAACTTGTCGGCTGAGTTCCTGCTTGAGCCACTTGAGTGGATCCTCTCGGCTCCCACTAAGTTGATTCTCAGAGGTGTCATCCTTCATGGACGATGAAGTATCTACATTGCAGACATCGTCTTTGACCTCCTTGAATGCATCCACGAGCAGTTTGGCGGTAGCCATTGACATCTGTCACCTCTTCCTGAACTCACCCCAACGAGGCTCAGAACCAACATCAAAGCAACCTCACGGGATGTTGGTATCGCAAGGGAGGCCAATATTTGTTGCCAAGTACATCCAATACCCTCCCGTCAACCTGCGTGGTCTGCTTCTCCCATGACCTCTCTTGCTGACACTCACGGTGTTGCCGTGAGCAGCAATACATCTTCGCTTGCCCTCCCACATGTGGCTAGTCACCACCCCTCTCCCTTGCCAGGTGGTGGTGTGGTGCAAGCAGCAACTCATCATCGCTCCCACTTCCACTTCCAAACAGCCATCACCCCTCTCCCTTTTCTGCTGGTCCTGTTAGTAGTGATACAACGTCACTCCCACTAAGTCATGACCCCCAGTGAAAATCAGTCCTAGCGATATCTACGGCAAACGACAATGATATAAAATATATGCCAGGAATATTGTAATAACTACGCAAATCGATAAATGTAAACAATATGTCAACAACGCTCAATCAATTATCAAATGGGTTTCAAATACACATTTGACAATGCGCTCAGTAAATGTTGAACATGTTGAAATTCTTTCAACTTTGACTTGACTTTGCTCAATATTTCAATGTTTGAACATTCTTGCGCATCAGCTGCGCACGCACCATCACTTCACGCAATGATGTCAATATGCAGTGGACCAATATTGGGACATTCCATCCCTACTCACTTCATCTCAGCTTTCTTCTTCCCCTCCATCATCTCGTCTTCCTCTCAGCAAAACCTTGCCGTTGACCTCAACCATCCTGGCATCATCTGACACATAACTTTCTCATGGCCACTAACAAGATAAGTATTAGGCTTTTTCATGGCTCAATCCATGTGCTGATCCCACCCACTCGACCGTCGGCCGTTCTTGTGACAAGTAAGCACTATTCACGGTGCATATATGCACATATTTTGAACATTGTGAGTTATTTGGCATTGTCAGGTTCATTCACTGACTGTTTTACATCATCGCTAGCTCAATACCATTGTCCCGATGATCGACACATCCAGCAGCTTCAACAGATACACCGTTACAAGACAGTCAATTGGTGAGTTCCATTAAAAGCTACCTAATGTACTTTAACTGATATCTATTGCTGTAGAACGAGGCAGCTGCCATCATTGTAAGTACTGTCTACTTGCCTGGCAAGTATATTCTGACAATGATTTGTTTCGGTCAAGGACTCCCATGTGCCAGAAGCTAGTGGACTACATCATCCTGATGTGCGGGTGGGGGTGCTATGGTATATAGAGTATTGTATTTGTAATTTTTCATAATACAATTATTTTTGGTCGATTTGCGTTGATGAGCAAATATGCACAAGTCAATTGGGAGCTATGGGAATATACTAGAATCTATGGTACACAAACACAATCGATGATACAATATCTCGCTTAATGCGAGTCGCTAAAAATTGACTATAAGTCTCATTTTTCTCCGGAAATCAACGTGAATATTGTCACAATATTTCCGTCGTTTTCTGGAGATATGGCTAGGACCGTTTCTCGCTGGGCATGACCCCTCACCCTTTCTGGGTGATCCTCCTTCATAACACCCTGCACACCTCAATGACCTTTTTTATGATCGTACCGGCACGCAGCCTACCTGGCCAGGTCAAGATACTACTCACGCCTTTAATTTCTTGGTAGACGACTCATTTCCTTCTATGCTACTCCCAGACCCGGTACTCATCCCTCCAACACCATTGAAGGATGCCGACGATGCTACTCCATGTGCCAGTGACACCCAAGGTGGTAACACATTTACTAGGGCACCAAGTCAACAATTGGACTTAAGCTACTATGCCTCCAATGCCCACGCTCAAGAGCGGTTCCCAGAAGAGAACCTGAACCTCGTGGATCACGAGTCTAGTTCACAGGAGCAATCGTTGACCGGACAGAGGTCATCAGAGACCAACAACAAGCTCAAAGAAGGGTTTGCACTGATTGATTGCATGTTCAATGATTTATCTAAGTGTACAATGATGCTGACCAATCAGGTGATCAACACATACCTGAAGAGTCATGGACAAGAGGTTCACAGCATCAATTATTGGAATGTATATGCGAACTACTTCAAGGAGTTCAAGGAGCGAGAGCTTGTGCGGCTCAAAACAGGAGGGTCGGACATCACATAGGCGCTGCTTCAACTCTCAATCAGCGTATGCAGTCCTTCCAGAAGCTCTATAGATGAGTGGCAAGCGTGGTATGGCGTCTTGTCCCAAGGATTGAGAGCCAGCTAACATTGACTTTAGCTTGATTCTGCTTCCACGAGATTTGGTTTTGAGTCGGCCATCATATTATGTGGCAATATAGTCAATCAAGATGCCTCTCTGGGTGATGTACATATAATACCAGCTGCTGCAGGGGTAAGTCGCTGCCAACAAACTTCAACTTGTGTTTCTAAAAATTTTCTATTAGTTCTTTGAGACGCGCTGCCATGCCAACGACGATACCATCATTGGACACCTGAAAGCTCATGTATTGTAGGTCTCAGTCGGCATCGTTTACTCACTTCACATATTGATCACTTCCAACAGCAATGAAACATTGTTGTTATCAGTGGTTGAAGATATAATCATTGCTAGGATGATGTACCACAGGAGGCGAGTCCATGTAGCTGGGAGGGGGAGAGTATTTTGTGGCACCAAATTGGTCTGCTGTTTGTTGGGTCATAGCTGTGGCTGGTTCAACAACACGATTTTCTGAGCATTTAAAAATCACCTTTTTTTGAAAGAAGGATGTACAGTTAAAACTGATATGAATGACAAGGCTCACTTGAATACCGAGAGGCACTGGATATGTTATGAGAGCCAATGTTAGCCAATGAGGTTGAAGATACAAACCATGCTTACTTTGAAACATGAATATGCAGATAATTTCTGTGCACAAACCTCCCACAACAGTCCTAAATGATTCCAGTAGCATGCCCCATCACATCAGTACCAAAATCTAAGCAAGCATGTCATGTTGAGACCATGTACTGAGTTTGTCTGGTTAGCTAGCAGGATTACGATACAAACATCGTGTGTATCATCCTCCTGCAATCCTGTAACATGCCGCCTATGGAGAACTGCAATGAGTGTTGCTAGAACCAAAGACCGCAGTCGTAACTGTTATTTTGGAGATGTTGGATCTGCAATGGATGACATCAGAGCATAATGTCCTTCTCCACCATCAGTAAGTTGCTTGGTATATGAATATAAACTTACTTTGATGTCGTTTTTCCAAGGTTGTTTTTCACCAAGGCTATCAAAGAGGTGTAATTCCTTGTTGATCATGTGAATCACACAAATCACCTAATGTCCAATTGAATCAGAGGGCTGGTGTATCAGAAGAACCCATACATCCTTCTCCCAGTAACATGTCCATGAAACATTCTGCCAAATGATATCGTCAGGCGCATTGTAACAGATGCGTGGGAGGTCGTGGGTAGAGAATATCGCGCAAGAGAGGGTTGGAGCTTTTAGTTCAGAGTAGAGTAGGGCAGCACAGCTGTCAATACACACGTCATTGAGACACGCTATCGGAGAGCGGAGTATGTTGATGTCTTTGGGATCAAAAAATTGATGAGGGAATCCATCACATGGAGGTCGGACATGTGTGACAAGTGTGTCAGGGACATTATTGTCCTGCTCTCTAACTGGGACACGAAGGTCATCAACCAGTAAAACATAGTGAGGGGTATCAGTGACATGATATTGAAATTTAAGTTGATCGATGTACCTCAGGAAGCTCCCAGACGATAGTAGCTTTAATGTCATAGCCTATGTGAGCTAACTCGGTATCATCGTCCATGTTTAACATGCCCATCTCTTGCTCAAGAACATCGGTGAGTGTGGCTTGTTCCGAGTCAACCTGTGGTGGATCATCAAGGTCAGCAGACACCAGCTCATCTTCACCATCAAGATCAGGTACAGTGAGCCTCCTGGTATGGATCCAATAAAGGGCAGTGCTCTGAGAGCCTCCTGAGATGGTAACCATAATGTCTACAGCTTCCTTGACCTGGGTGTTACAAGTAACATCAGCTACATGGCCCCCCTATCATTTTTCCTCATCCTCATCCTTGCTACCTCCTGCTTGTACTCCTTTACCAACTATCTGTTGACAAGATATCAGGACTGTTCCCATCCCCTGTCTCCCCCCTATCGCACCAACGTGCGCACGTGCCTTCGGGCTATGACTCATCCTGACTCATGTCACCACCAATGTGGCTTTCCTTATTTTTCCTTATCTTTCCTCTGACTCATGCGTGCTGCGCATTGTATCTCTTACCGTTGGTTCATTCCAACGTTTCTCGGTCTCATTCTGCATTCAACCTCCCATCACTAATCAGGTTCTGCTGCCAGTGCACCTATACTCTTTCTGTCTCCCCTTTACCCTTACCTACAGTACAGTAGCCTTCTTAACCCTTTCCACTTAGTATAAGTAGTCGATCACCCTGTACTAGATTCTCTAACTTGAATCTACTCAATCTTCCCTGGAACATACTTCCCTCCAAAGCCTCCTCAGCTTCAGTCTCTAGTATCTTTTCTTAAGTGCTCATCGCACTTAAGTCTACCTCGATTGATTACTCATCGTTCAGACAAGACTGTCCTTACCTTGAGAATATCAGCAACTTTGAAGACATCCATCTTAGAAGTCACGTGATACGCACTTCTCTGATATCTGCCGACTCGACATCACCAGTCTTAGTCGCTACACTGGACCCTTCTGGTTACATCACGAACATTAGCGGACAACACCCCTCTTAGGGCTTCGCATAACAGATCTATTTGAGTACATAATACTGGGTAGTGAACCATAATGAAGACACCAGCGAGTTGCTCCGGCGTGATTGAAGCCAAAGGAAGTTAGACCGGCACTGTTCCAAGGTGGCTATAAAAGGTTCACCTAGAACTTCAAGATCAGAAAAGAAGACTGGAGTTAAACAAATTTACCTACATTCTGGCATGCAAAGTACAAGCTCGAGTGATGCAAGCTCTTCTCCGAAAAATCGACAAAGGTTATCAGCTTCAGTGCCAAGGCGCACCTGTTCTTCCCTGCATCGATCACGTTTAAGAAGAGTGCAGATACTGTCTCTAATGTCCGTATTATCCAACCATTGTGGTACTTCTCCAACAGATGGAGTGATCCATATGTCCTCCATTAGCGTGGGATCAGCACGGAGTTCAGTAAGTTTGGTGGGGAGGGGAGGGGGTAAAGGAATCACGCCAGACAGATTGTAAAGTGAATCTAACTGTTTGCAGTATGAATTAAATTTTCGTATAGCCGTCATGAGGGCAGGGTGACATTTGGCGATAGCCTTCCATGGCTGTTGATGCAGTTTTTATTCCTGAGAGATATTAGCAATCAAATGGAACAAGATGGGGGCCAGATATGTTACCTAATGCTTGTTGAGCACCGCCAACAGCCTGATCTAACTTATCCCACTCAAAGAAGCTAGCAATGGCACATTTACGAATGTTGATTTTGAGGTCCTGTGCCATCAACAGGATGTGAACAAAGTCAAGGTCAATTCCCTTAAGTTCTGGAAACTTATCGTGGATGTTGAAAGATGAATATAGATCTTCAACTTTGTCCATCAGGTGATTGTGACCTCTCTCGAGGCTCGCTAGAGCCTCAAGTGTGTCATCAGAGTGTGATTCTTTCGCAAGTATGACCCTTGTAGCCTGCAGCGCTTGATTCGAAGTATCGAGATTGGCTTGTAGACCTAGCACCATGTTGAGTTCTTTCTTCAAACGAGCAGGGGCATCTTAAGTAACCATTTAATGAGCAGTCATGTGTAGTGTGAACATACTTATGAGCTCAGATTGAAAGTTGAGATTCTTGTTGGTGCAACCATTGGGACTTCAACTCCTCAATGGATATTTCACATTGGTCCAGAATGTCTTGCACAGTTGACCCTTGATCATTGACACTGTGTTTCAGACGTTGCTTAAGCCAGTCACCGAGATCCGCGTGCATCTCTAAGCCTATTGCAGCCGCCTGGCGATCAATTAGCCATAAACAATGCTGGTGCTAGAAGGCCTTGAATGATTGATGGCTTCATAAAGCAACAAAAAAGATTCTCACCGATGAGGATCTCTGGACACCGATCAGCCAAACAAACCGTGACCAGTCTTTCAGTCCCTTCTTCATCTGATAACCCAAGTCCGAGGCAGATGCATGATTATATACCAACTGACATGACCACTCATGTCCGTATGCGTGCATTGCCGTCGTGGCAAATCGGAGGCGGTTTGTGATATCTTCTGGAAGGATTTCATACTAACCTTCAATAAGCATGGTGATACAATGAAGACTGAGGAATCTACCTTTGAAAGTGACCATGCGAGAACACATCCAACATCGTACAAGACGACAACAGTCGCCTGAGGGGGCAGCAAAGTAAGTAAGTGTTGTAGAAGAGCAACAGAATATTTTTATTGCTTGCCGGGTGAATCTATGTTAGCAAAAAATAAAGGAATGTCATGGCGACAAATGAGAGCCATAACTCCCGTATCATCAAAACTGTCCATAGCAGCCTTCTGCTTTTTCCCATCAGCAGCCTCGTAAGCATTTTCGCATAAATTGATGGCTTCATCAGGTACAACAAGCTTACGAGCCTTAGGAGGCCGCTTGCATTGGGAATCTATCTGGTGGCCAACTTCATCAACAAAATCTTTAGGGAGAAAATAAGTTGGGTTATAGAATTGTGGACAGCCGCCTGCAGAGTGCCAATGGCGATGGTGGAAATTTCCATCTGTTGCGACATGTATATCGCCACCATTGTCAGTAGGTTTCCCATACAATACACCACCGAAACATGCAGGGCACCGCTGGACAAGAAGGGGCGAACATCGATTCTGGCGTGAGATGGGTGGGGAAGGGGCTGGCTCTGGAGGTTGCTGTTGGTCAGGAAATATCTTGGGGGCTGGCAATGATGCCTTGAACTCTGCAACACGATCCTGACATTGCTGGAGTAGTGAGTTGAGTTGGCGTTCGACTTCAATTTGCAGGATGTCGAACCATTGGACTGCATAGTCAAGCCCATGATGGAAAGGGTCATGAATTAATTCACCCTTCAGAGAAAAACATCATTAGTGTCCAATGGCGCATTGATTGAACGTACTTTTTTGTCAGTCATTTGAAAGCCTTGGCGGGAATAATACATCTTGAGAGCAGACACGTGTGCATTGATTGCATCACAAGAGCGCTTGAAGAGTGTCTGGTAAAACGACAATAAGTCAAGTGAAACTGCTATACAAGGCTGGGATGGTGCAGTAGGGAACAAGCCATGGTGGATGAGGACTTGGGGAAGTGAGGAACAGTCGCAGCTCAAAACATCAACAGATGTGAATCCTAATGACATTTAAACATCATTGCTTGTGTGTGATTGAGGACTTATGGTCAAAAAATAAACAAATCAAAGTCGTTCGTTTCCCTGTGTATTGGAGAGTGGTGCATGCAGATATAATTTCATTGACCCTTTCCAAGGGTTGGCCCTGTGTCCGCACGGTATATCGGACTTGGGGTTCAACAAGAGTTGAGATGAGTGCTAACCAGCTATGGTATAGTGTGTCAGTTGATTTGTTGGGTGAAATACAACATCTGGACAGCGGCTGTTCAGGAGTGAAGTTGGGAGGTTCTACTTCTGGCACAAACATCTCCATATTGTCCGAGTAACTGATAGAATTATCCATAGGATCAGGCAGTTCGTTCGTTGTGCTGTTCATATGCAAGGATGGTGATTATGATGCATGATGACATTCCAGACTCATCAACTGTTCCATCCGAGCAAGAAGGCAGCGCTGTTTGGCCTCTGCACCAGGCATCTCAATCAAAACTTGACTTTTCTTCTTGTTGCGAGCTTTATGCGGGCTCACAAAATGGTGGCCAAGACCAGAGGACACAACTTGAGACTGGCGAGAAGATCATGCCCTGCCTGGCATTGATGGTGATGGAGACATCGTTGCAGTACTAAAGAAACCACTGCAGAGTGGACTTATAATAATATAAAGGGGATGCAGTGAGGCTCCTCAGAGCCAGCAGCAAAGAATGAGTGGCTACATGGAGGCTCGTTAATAGCACACGAGGCTATTACGGGTGGCACCAGAGCTGCCGGAGGTGATTAAGGATGATATCTATTAATAGACGGTAGAGAGGTCTGGTCTCATAGATAACTTTCCCATAACATAGAAACCAGGTCTCTGAGACCCTTTATTACTACTGAGAAGTGCTGCCTGAGGTGATGTTTGAATTATCAGACTGAGCCTCTTGAAAAAGCGACATTCACAGTGGGGAGTTACATCTGCCCATGGTCAAGCACACATGATTTGTATATGATGCTCTGTCATGACACATTTACACTGATTGAATTGTTTTCAGAGACTTAATACTGGATATCATGTACCCACTGGTGAATCTGCAGCAGTCAACTCATCAGATGAAGAGTCTGACTTCTACAAGTTTACCTGGACAGATGAGGAGGCAATTTAGATTCAGTAAGTCAAGTAGTACTGTAGTCTATCTTAGTCCACATCTGTTGGTGCCATCGATATTGTAGTACAATTGATTTCCTGTTTGAGACTGGTATCACTGGTGTCAGTATCAATACCACCTTATCGAACTCTTCTTGCTTTCCCTTGAACAACTGCTCAGGATCATGATGCTCAAAGCATGGTGTCTTCTGACATGTTTGAGTCAGGCTCAGTCGGTTGGTCCAGTGCATCAAAGGGCTAGCTATCAGGCTACAAGATCTGGGAAGACAGACACCTTTATTCGACCACTTGAGAATCACACTTCAAAAGAACAACCATGACTACAAATCACTTGGAAAATCACTTGGACTATTATATGTATGTCTAACATGGTTCAAAAGCCTCCAGCATCTCTTGCTCCTCCTTCGCATACACCATGACAGACTTTACTCCCATGAATCCAAACAGCTGGAGACTTTGTCAGCATTAGTGATGTTCCGGCCTGGCTTGGGCTTAAAGCCGTGGCTTAGGCTCAGCTTGGAGCGGCCCAGGCTTAGGAAAATCAGAGCCCGAGCTGTGAGCCCAAGCCAGGCCCAAGCCGGGGGCTTGAGCCCAACAGGCCACGGCTCTGTAGGCTGGTGTCATGTGGTGAGGGTAAACCTGCAGGTCAGCTGCTAGTGCTTAGCACATATGTCCAGCACACATTAGCAAATGCTGACGTGACTCAAACATATGTGGATGGCACAAGAAGGAAGAGTGGAGGCACAGGCAAGTGCAGACAAGCACAAGTGAGCCGTGCGTGTGATATCGAAAAAAAACACCTTGTCCAACAAACATATTAGTCCCCCATTCAGAGTCGAGTCTAGATGCGCAATGTAATGAACATGAACAGTGAAGAACACACCTGTACAAGTGCATAAAAAAATTATTGTTGTAATAGACATTGCCAGCAGCGTTGCATAGCTTGTTTGTGGTGTTCAGGAGGGCCTTGTGCTCTGCAGCACAGCCGGAAAAGAAGTTGTCAGTCAATGCATATGTATGTGCGTGGTAAAGATAGCTCAGGCCGTACATGTTGCCCGACCTGTGCAAAGCATTATGAGGGACGTAAAGCTATAGAATAGACTCGAGGCCAGCAAGCTACAAGCATTGGTGAGTCCAACTTTGATGAGTCCGAGTCTAAGTCAAAACTAATCAAATTCATTATCATTCATGTCACAGACTTCATAGCTGCTGAGCCCTCAAGACATGAGCTGGTAAAAGCAATGTCAGCAGTGCAATGTGGAGGTTTGTCATGCTCTGAGGGCTTCTGGTTTGTGTATGAAGCTTAATAGTACTATCTTATAAACAACATCTTTCCCAGTCAGCGCTTTGGCCATCCAGCCCACATGCTGGCAGGTGATCACGGAAAAATGCCTTCTCCTTCAGTTCCTGCACACGTGAGCATGGGATATACACCCAATCATGCCATGCACCAGCTGCATCACAGCAAGATGGCTCAGGCAGCATCGTCAGGGCACTTCCATCAAGTCATGATTTGAGTCGCCTTACATCACCTGAAACCAGAGAGAAAGTCAGGCACGGTGTTAGTTGGTGTAGGTCATATCAATTCTAACTTGCACTGCTCTCAACTTGCAAAATTGACAGAATATTGAACATGATGTGCATGTTGTGCTCAACATCACCCTAGCTCAGCTCCAGTCCGAGGTAATCAACCAGCTCGAACGATTATGGGCAGAGTGGTCGCACAGCCACACTCTCTCCCTCTATAGCCTGGAAATGCACAAATCACCAAAGTTGATTCTTTATGACCTGAGACAACCGTCCATTGGCGCTAATGAACCAGTCCTACAAGAATTCTTCGTGCATGCAATGCCCAAGGACCCCACACTTAAATTTTTTGCAAATGCCCATGTTGCCATCCTTCTTGTAATGACAAATGTGCAGTTTGAGGATGTGTTGCTCTGGCAAGAGCAATGTGTCAATGTAGGTCTTTTTTTCATGTTTTCAGTGATACCTTTCAGACTTAGCTCAATCTCACAGAACATTGCACCAAGTGTCGACACTGATGTGCAAAATGTGCTAAATCAGCATCTAGTATCCCTGCAAAGAAAAGGGTACTGCAAAGTCAAGGTAGCAGCAACAATTCTAGCTATTGCCACCATGCTGCCCTGCACACAAGCGCTCCAGGAAGGTGAGTTGAGGTGCTCATATATTGGCAGGTCTAACCATATTTGATACCACAGTTTCTGATATCTGAAATTAGCGAGGTCCTGGCAGGCAACAATGTCTCAAAGGATGAAGACCAATCTGATGTCTGTGGGGGCCCTTCAAAGCTGGAACAGAGTCATCATATTAATTACATTGATGTATTGAAGCTCATGTTCTCATATGAAACACATGGTGAGTCTCTGATGTATCTAGATTCTCTACTCAGCTAAGATCCATTGGCATGCAATGACTCCGACAACGGTCATGTTGCGCAACTCAAACAGCAGCTCACCGAATTACAGCATGCTGTTGTGAGTCTACAAGCCGATAGACTTTGGCTTATCAACAAGAACACTGGTCTCAATATGACCTGCCAGACTTTACAGTAAGTCAATTCCACTGAATATATGCGCATATATGCACTCAAAAAATTGCTACAGAAATGTGATCATTAATATGTGAGGTTCTGCAAGCTCCGTGTCCTCAACATCATCATCATCACCCCCTTCCGACACCTCAAATACCATCACTGACGACAAGCCTTCCATAGTGGACAGAATTGTCCCCACAGAATCCGATCGAGAACTTGATTGAAAAAACTACCCATCCGTCAAATCATGGACGAAGAAGGAATGTCAGGACCAGTATCCCAAGAGGACATCAGCGGTGCCTGGAACTTCTGGAAGCTCATCTCAAGGATCTGGGTGCATGGCGCAAGGTGTTAATGTTGCATGCACATACCTACAGGATGAGCAAGGTGTATCTGTCTCGGCTCAACGTGCCAAGACAATCCGGAACCTCATGCTCTCGAGCTTTCGGGAACTTGACACTCAAGGCCTCGCCCCAGATTCTATTGGCCAAGCATCCCTGCAAGTCTTACACTGGCTGATTCACACGCTACGCAAACATTGTTTAGAATTATGTTTATGTGCTGACAACTGGAAGGTCATGAAACTCATGACCGACAATTACTCGCAGTGGTTCAACTACCACGTGAAGAAAAGAACCAGCAAGCGCATCAAGGCTGAGCATGGAGAGAGTATTCCAGATCTCTCAGAAGACGCCTTACCCTCAGTTCAGAAGTGCAGGGGTAATTCTGATCAAGATCTTGAAGCCGAACATCCAAAGAAGCGAGTACGAACCGATCTGCCTGTCATTGAGCCTATCATCGAGAACGACGAAGTGGTAAGTGTTTTTGAGTACTTTTCAGTACTTGATGCTCGCTAATCAACCTATCTACAGATACCTGATATACCATGACACCCCTCACCTGAGCGTGAACCAACACCACCACCACACGCCAACAAAGGCAAAGATAAAGAAGTAACTACTATTGAGGTGAGTTGAATTTACACACTCAATCCAGACACTGACTTGACTTGATCAAAATTACTAGATTGAAAACCCACTGTGAGTTCTTCTGATCCGTCTGATATTAATCTGATTGATCTATTTATATAGGTCCAATGTTGTGTTGAAACCTAGGCCCAAGGCAGTCAACCAGATGTCCCCTTCCATTTCCATTGACTCTCCGACTGCTTCGACTTCTGGAACCAACCCAATTCTTGCACTGCCATCACATGAGTCTACACCTACATCAACTATACCAAATACACCTTTGAGTACTGACACAGCTTCACTAGCTGTAAAGGCCGAACTCATCAACCAAGCCAGCACCACGATCGAGACAAAAGTGCACCCTAATATGATCAAGAAGTGCCAACCAAGCACAAAGCCTATGTGCATGAGCTCCAAGATCATGGCACGGTGAGTTCTATTCTATCTATTATTATCATAGTGAGTAAGGTTAACTCATTATTCTAGGAATTTTTGCGCCATTGAATGGCAATCAAATGGCCATCAAAAAGAACCAGTGAGCATATTTGCGACCTACTGGAATGGCCTATCGAGCACCAACAAAGAGGTACCTCGTTTTAATATTGATATCATTTATCTACTGACAACTACTCTTATAGGTATACAAGTGCAAAGCAGCTCTACAGGTGTGTGGTATTCATCATAGCCTAATTTAATACTAATGACGGTTTACTTTATAGCTCAACTCAGCTGGAACTACTGAAGGGAGCGGTGCCTGTGATGACATGGACGAGGAGTAATGGATACAAGGCAGGATAGTGGGATGGGCAGGATGGCGGGCGAGCACGGGCGCAGCGATACCACAAGCACCCAACCACAGCGATACCTTTAGATACTCATTCAATGGCATTAGATATGGATTCACCCACCCAAATTCAGCGTACTTATGCATCTAAAATTCATCTAAGGCCATCGAAAATCCTATCTAAGCAGTAAATTTAACTCTTGATCTCTATCATTTTGTGTCTCGAAAAGTCCCACTTTTATAAACAGGTCGAAACATAGCAAAAACATTTATTCACTGATATTTTTTTCACTTCTTATCTACACATATCTATCTCCTTCTTGTCATTTTTCACTAGGTCTCAACACTCATCGTTCATCACATCCCAACATTCATCATTCATTGAACCCCTTCACACTCGCTATTTTAAAAGCCTTACACTGTCTTGGTGGAGTTAGGAGGGCACCCCATGGCCTGTGACACATCATCATCAGCTATGGCCCTGCGTTTGCCCAGTGTCTTTGACAAACTTAGTGTGGAGGAGGAGGTGGAAGCCTCTGGAAGCTTACTACTTCCAGTAAATAGCATTGGTCGTTCTGAAGGAATGAATCTAATCGGAGAGGGTGGTTCATCTGGCACTGGTGGGACATAAGGGTTTGGATGCTCAATAGTGTCAAGCACTTTCTGTGATTCCCGATAGGCTCAAAGTCAGTCCAAGCATGAAGGTTACAAGAACCTGCACTCACAATGTTTGCTACGACAGTAGTACCAGTCATAGTGGTACTGCAGCTGCAGTCTTTGGCTGGCCCTGTGGGCCAAGCAGTAGCATGGTGGGCGATATCCCCCCTTCCCTTTGACAGCAAAAGATCCTTCAGTGTATCATAGTGTGGCCAACCCTTGTTCTTGAATTGTTGCGCTTGAGGCATACTCTAGATTCGGTAATTAGTTATTATAGTTGGCATGATGACATTGACATACCTTCACAAGTTCTGTCCAGACAGACTCAGATGCATTGGTAATGTTGGCCTCAAGCTCCAGACTGAACTCCAAGCCAGAATAATTGGCCAATCTATCGACAATGTTGAAGGTTGAATGGATCTGAAGGCACATCAGTAAGTACCGGTTGATCATCAAATGTAACGTAAGAACTTACTCAAGACCATTTTGACTGGCATGCATCCAAAGTCTTCAGGGGGCCTTTGGCAGTCATTGTAGCGGCAACAGCAGCCCAAAATGTCTTGTCAAAATTGAGCCCTTCGCCACCCTTGGCACAGTGTATGGCGATGTATTGTATTCACCATGATTCATCATCTGAACTCCAGAAACATTGTTCAGTTCAGACATGGTGTCCTGATCATTCTTGCCTTGCCTCATATAGCAGAAAGATACATTATGGGGGCAGGAAGAACAAGTTTGTCGAGTGACTGGCATGATGGTATATCAATAAACTCTGTCACATCTGTCACACTGATTTGGTATATTCAGGATGATTATAGATCAAATTCCATCTTTGAAATTTCTCAAAATTTTGTTAGCTGAATAGACTCTAAGGGCCATTGTCATGCCACTGGCTTACAATGCCAGTCAGGTGACTTTCAAGGCACCTTACAAGTGCCTTTTGAGGGTCGGTGAGAAAATATGGTCATACAAAGGGGTCAGTGCACCTGCAGCATGCAGGAGGGTTATGAAGGGGTTGATAAGGCTAATCTGAACAAAGTCTGAACTAGAAAATAACAGAGGTAAGACTACCCTAAGGTAGAGCTGGATATATAGTCTAGAATAGGATTCTAAGACTCAGAGATGACAAGAGAACTAGCCTGATGTAGAGACTCGTGCCTCTCATTGTGTGATATGGCAGTTTTCACTAGGGAGTACATGACACAAACTTGTAGCATCACTTTGTGTGCTATCTGCAGCTATTCCTATATGAGGTGCACACTTCCCGCACTTCACAATGTATATGCGTGCGCACTTTCCCGTGCTTGAGTGCCCTATAGTGCCAGTCATCTGGAAGCATCCATCCACTGTCCACCAAGCTCTCTAGTGCGTATATTTCTATTTCCCTTATTTGCATATTGTTCTATCTTTATTTTTATCATGGACCCTTACTTACATATATCTTTATACACCTTACTCAGAAGCACTTTGGCTCTGCATGACAGTGCTTAGGCGCCATATATAAGTGCCAGCAGTACATACTATTACTTACTTTTGGAATCTACCTTTGGCTACCAACTTTCTACCTAATAGAGCACAGTTGAAATCTATTCTTTTACACCTCACACTCACATCTCTTGTCTTGCATCATAATCATCACTTAAGCAAACTCACTCTTACTCACTCTTATTTCTGCATACACACATGCACTTTCCCGTGCTTCATGTAATATGCATGCATGTTCCCATGCCTTCATGCCTTGCACACACCTGCACTTTCTTGTGCTTCACATTGGCCAGCCAGTAGCACTTTCAGTGCATACCTCTAGATCCTTGCTGCACTCGCTTCCCCTTTAGGGTTAAACACATTTGTCATCTCAAGTATAGCAGACTAGGCAATGCATGACCTTACAACATTATAGATACAGTCTGGAGCCTCATTCGCACCTCACTGTATTGTTGAACCTTCACTGAGTCTGGAAGACAGGAATGAGCAGGAACTAAGATGATAT